AGATTCTCTCTTTGTCTTTTGCTCTTGGCATTTTAATTATATTGTGTCTTGGTGTGGTCCTCTTTGGATTCCTTTGTTTGGGGTTCTCTGCACTTTCTGAACTTGTTAGTCTATTTCTTTCACCAGGTGGGGGAAGTTTGCTATAATTATTTCTTCAAATAGGTTTTTAGTATCTTGCTCTCTCTCTTCTTCTGGCACCCCCATGATTCGGATGTTGGTACCCTTGAAGTTGTGTTCCAGACGCTCCTTACACTATGTTCATATTTTTGGAATCTTTTTGCTTTTTGCTTTTATGGTTGGGTATTTTTTGTTTGTTTGTTTGTTTGTTTGTTTTGTTTTGTGTGGTTTTTTTTGCTACTTTGTACTTCAAATCTTTGACTTGATTCTTGTGTTCCTCTAGCCTGCTGTTAGGTTTTTGTGTAATATTTTTTATTTCAGTCACTGTATGTTTAATTTCTAGTTGGTCCTTTTTCATATCCTTGAGGGTCTCGCTAAATTTATCAGCCTTTTCTAGAAAATTCTTAAAAAACCTTATAACCATGGTTTTGAACTCTATATCCAGTCATTTGTTTTTCTCCATGTCTTTTGTTTGTGATCTGCTTCTTTGTCTCCAAATTTTCACTGCTTCCCTGAGTTGGTACTGTAGCTTTGTGTGCTAGGTGTCCTATATAGCCCAGTGGGTCAGCCTCCCCAGTTACCTGAGGTGAACATTCTTGGTGCACCCCTTTGTGGACTGTGTGTACAGCCTTGTTCTAGTTAAGTCTTGATTGTTGTTGGTATCACTGGGAGGAATTGACTTCCAGGCCAATTGGCTATGAGGATCAGCTGTGTCTATGCCTGGAGAACTTCTGTGTTGGAGACAGCCTTATGAGACAAGACTTGCAAAATTGCAAAAGCCTCTGTTCTCAACTTAGATGGGGCGGAGTTTCAGGGATGAACAGACAGTCTTGGCTTCCCATCAGCCCTGCCCTATAAGGCTCCTGGGTCTCAGTACCCCTTAGTAATCACTGCAAGCACCTCTAAGGGTAAGCTTCCCTCGAGTTTCAAGCATTGCTAGACAGTCCAGTTTCTCCCCCAATGAATCTGGATTCCCAGATTCTCACCTGCAACTGGAGTTCAGCATAGTGGGTAGCTTCCATTTCCCACCTGCTAGAGAAAGCCAGTGGCGCACTCAGCAGGCAGTCCTCTCTTCACACACGCACACGCCTCCATACCTCTGCCTTCTGTGGCTCCCCTGAGTTTCCACTGGACAGTCCAGATTCCTCCCGTATAAGCCTGGATCTCTAGGGTCTCACCAGGAACTGGGATTTGGTGCAGTCGGAACTGGAGTTCAGCACAGTCAGGAGCTTTTGTCTCCTTCCCACTAGTGAAAGCCAGCCAGGCACTCAGCCACCTATGTGCATTTCTCCATACCTCAGCCTTTTGCAGCTCCTCTGATTCTCCTTGTGCTTTCCTCTTTCTTTCTAGTTGTAGAATTTCCACTCAGCCAGCTTTCCTGTGGTTCTGGATGTAGTTTGTTTTATCATTTACTTGTAGTTTTAAAATTGTGGTGGGAGGCAGTAGTTTAGGTGTTTACCTATACTGCCATCTTGGCTTCTCCCTCGAATGAGGATTTTTAAAAAAATTCTGTTATCCACCGAAACTGGTTTGGCTCAGTGGATAGAGTGTTGTTCTGTGGACTGAAGCGTCCCAGGTTCGATTCCGGTCAAGGGCATGTACATTGGTTGCAGGCACATCCCCAGTAAGGGGGTGTGCAAGTGGTGGCTGGTCGATGTTTCTCTCTCATCGATGTTTCTAACTCTCTATCCCTCTCCCTTCCTCTCTGTAAAAAAATCAATAAAAAATATTTTTAAAAATAAATTAAAAAAATAAAAATTCTGTTATCCACACTGTTTTCAATTTGTTTAATGCTTACCTGAGGGTATTTTTTCCATTGACTTCTCCAGCCCCTCCAGCCCTGTGCTTCCTCTGCCTGCTGCTCTTGTCTTCCTATTTTTCAATTGTTTTTATTTTTTGTTCTCTGAGTGATTTTTTTCCTACCCTGTCTTCTAATTTACTGATCTGATCCTCAGTTTTCCTTAATCTGCTCTGTATTCCTTCCACTGTGTTCTTTATTAGTGCTATATAATTCTTCATAGTTACTATATCTTTTCTCATGCTGTTGGTCATCTTTGCCATCATTATTCTGAACTCTATGTTTGATAAATTTCTTATCTCTATTTCATTTAGATCTTCTGGAAAATTCTCTTGTTCTTTCATTTAGAGCTTGTTTTTTGTTTGTTTGTTTTGTTTTGTTTTGTTTTGTTTTGTTGTTTTTTTTTGTCTCCCTATTTTGGCTGCCTGTTTGGGTTTTTGTCTGTGTATCAGGTAAATCTACTATGACTCCCAATCTCTAGTCCAGGACAACATCAGATGCTGTTTATGACTGGCCCAGAGTACCCTGTTTGAAGGTATCAGCAATCCACATCTTGTAGTTCCTTCTGCTGGGGCTCAGTGCCTTTGGAAAGAACCAAGATGTTCACCAAGGTCTTCTTTTTGGAGCCCTAGCCCCAAATTAGATCATCCAGAGAATCATAGCCTCCAGAGACCCATCTGTACCTTCAGTCTGATTGTTATTCAGTCTTGAATAGCCTTTGGCTATAGACCATAGACTAGGAGGAGTTTTTCCAACTGGATGGAACAATAGCTTCTCCCTGCAGGCTGATTATTATCCTCATCTTTTAACCAAAATGCCAGGCAAAAGCCACCTGGATAGTAAAGGTCCACTGGAGAAAGATGTTTTTCTAACGTATGAGGGAATGACTCAGGACAGAAAACCTGGGTGTCTGCCTTCCAAGTTCTAACCCTAGCACCCCACCCCTGGCTTTTGCTCACCCTGCTCCAGTCCACTCTGTCCTTCCTTTGCCGTCCCTTTACTCTCCTTTTGCCAAAGTCCCAGGTGAGTAGCTGCACACAAAATTTTGTGCATTGGCCTTTTAAAGAGATTGCCTACATTTCAAGTCATCTCTCTCTGGCACACAGCACCCCAGTTGCTTTTCACAACCAGATGTTCTGAGGACAACTCTCTCAGTCCTGGTGCTCTGGGCTTGGAACCCAGCTTGGGGTTTAGACGCAAGAGTTCTTAGTGGGAACCCTCCACAGCTGAGACAGCCCTCTGGAACTTCGGCTGCTGCCTGTAGGAACCAGGCCAGCCCTTTTTCACCTCTTCACTTCATACCAGTATCTATGTGGTCTCCACTTTTCGTCCTTGGTTATACTGGTTCTGTCCAGCTAGTATTCAGTTGATTTTTCAGGATGGTATTTCTGTATTTTAGTGTAATTCTAGTTTGTGCCTAGGAGCATGTCACTGTAGTTTTCACTTACTCTGCCACTATTGTGGAATCTGGGCCATTTTTTCTTTTTTTTCTTTTTTAATGATTTTTATTTTTGTATCTTTTTAAAGAAATATTTCCCGTGAGCCCCAAAATATATCCACCTATATTTTTTTTCTAAAAGTTTCCCCTTTTATATGTATGCCTTTCATCTACCTGGTTTTGATTCTGAACATGGTGTAAAACAGGGATATAATTACAATATATTGTCTCAAAACCAGTTTTCCAGTGGTTCGTTCTCTCTCCACTGTTCTGCAATTGCACTGCTGTCATGAGCTTCTCTGACTTTGAGCACCCTGCTTCCTTTTTTAGTACCTTTGTAATGACATTCCTTCCACTGGGATAATCAGATTAATTTCCCTTTCTCAAGAAAATTAATTTTGTACATTGCATCTACTGTGATAATGAAGTTAATTTTCTTTTCTGAAGATACTTAATTTGGTTTTTCTTGCTTTGTAAAGGAACATATCCACGGGTTTTAGAGATTAGAATGTGAACATCATTTGTGATGGCATTATTCATCCTACCACATTATTCTTATATTTTTAACTCATACCTTTTAAGGCTACTCATAGCCTCTGTCTGATAGTCTTACTAGCTAAATACAGTTGTTGAGAGTCTAATTCTCCTGTTTGTCATGTCTGTTAATTCTCACTCAGGATAAGATATGTTTCTTTATCTGTTGTATAATTTTGGATTATAAACTCATCATAGGGGGACTCAATTTGAGGCAATCTCACTTGGCCTGGGTTGAGATAATATTGCTTTTACCAAGACTCCAGGGATATAACTGACCCAGAACCACTTTTCATGCTATTTTATTTGTCAAGGTTTCATGGGTAATGTAGTAATGTAATTTCACACTTTCAACCTGTGTGAGGACAGACTACTGGTTATAAATATAGATGTATAATCATCCTCCACCCATGGCTTTAGAGAAAACATTTTTTGTTTTGTTTTGTTTTCTCCCTCTTTAGTAAATAATTTTTCCCTAGATCACTTTTACTGAGGTGTAGTCCTTTAAGGATCCAGACATTATGAGAGAATATCTACTTTCCCATTTCCCTTCCTTGTTTGGAACCCAAGACCTCTCCTTTCCCTTGGTGGGCATTAAAACTCAAACCCTTATATTCGTGAGATAGGCTAACTCCTTAGTGTTTCTCCAGCATTAATTCATGTGCTTACTGCTCTAATTTCAGTTCTCTGTTTTCCCTGTTTGTTTCCTCCTTAAGACTTCTCTGTCATCACTTTTGTTGCAGAGGTGATCTTATACATAACCTCTTGAGACTATTTATAGCCTGTGTTTCTTAGGTAGTTGGTAGTTGGTTGGGGGGTGGGAGGTGGGGAAAGGGTTGGGGAAAGAGAAAGTTGAGCTTTCTTAGGGATACTTTTGGTTTGGTCACAATTCTAGGTTTCCACAATGTATTATTAGCAGTAGGACTTTTGTTGTGTCAGAATATCACTAATCTTACTTCTGAGATATTCTTAATACCATGATAAAGAAAATAACAAATTATCAAGGTACTTTTTCTGTAAGACCAATTATTAAATGTAGATACTTAAAAAAATAATGCTACTTTAATTTTCAACTTAAGAATCATAATTCTCATTTTCCTATTCTCTTTCTAGGATGTGTGCTGTATTTGGTGGAATATATTGTCTTCGCCATTCAGTTCAGTGCCTTGTTGTGGACAAAGAATCCAGAAAGTAAGGATGATATAAGTTACCTTCATATATTTACACCCTAAGCACAGGTGAAAAATGCTAAAGTCAATTTTTAAAAAATGATTCTTCAAAGATCCTCCTTGGTGTTAATAACATATCAACCTTGATTAAAAGTAATTTGTGTTTAGATCCTCCAGAACAAGTAAAGTGAGTTCAGAATATAGAAACTAAATTAATTTCCTTGCAATATGACTATAGCTCCTGATCATCCAACCTTGGAAGACAAATCATTTCAGCTGCCGGGGGTGGGTGATGAGTGATTTTAGTTTTCCTTGTGGCCTTACCTCCTCTAATTGATTTTCATCAGATGACAACAAAGCCCTCTGTTATTGCATTTTTAAAAATGAAGCTCACCTAAAGACTCATCAGATTAATCTCTGATGATAATGCATGTCACTCTAAAAGAAAAAAAACTTTAATGAGTTTTTAGGTAGATTGTTGTCATAAACTATGCTGCCCTGTTATCTGAGGATAAAATCTTTTACAACCACATCAGGCCTGCAGGCTGGTTTAGGATTGAAATAAGAATATACCTGCTTTTTAAATTTTTTTTATAAAGTGGAGGATCATTTATCTGTGCATTTTTACATTTAAATAACATTTTTTCTGGGATTTATTATTTAGATACTAAGATATACTCTTGTCTGAATTACACTAAGTAAATAGTCTTCGATTGTTATCTCTTACCTTAAAACTTACATGAGTCAATTGGATCAAATTTAGGATCTGTTTAAATTTTCCTTTTTGTTATTTGTTCTTAAGAATCTACTGACATGTATCTTTTATATAACTTTTTATGGGTATATAAAGAAATTGTTCTTCATTACCATTTAGGATGCCTTTTATTTTTTTCTCTTGCCTGATTGATCTGGCTAGGACATCCAGTGCTGTGTTGAATAACAATGGTGAGAATGGACATCCCTGTCTTATTTCTGATCTTAGAGGAAAAGTTTTCAGTTTTTCACTATTGAGTATGGTATTAGCTGAGGATTTGTCATATATTGCCTTTATTATGTTGAGGTACTTTCCTTCTGTACCCATTTTATTGAGTGTTTTAATCATACTAGTAAATGGATGTTGTATCTTATCAAATTATTCTTCTGCATCTATTGATATGGTCCTATGATTTTTATGCTTTGTTTTGTTAATGTGGTGTATTACATTGATCGATTTGCATATACAGTTTTTGTGCTCTGCAGTGAACCCTACTTGATCATCATATATTATTTTTCAAAGTGTTGTATTAAATTTAATAATATTTTGTTTAGGGTTTTTGCATCTGTATCCATCAAAGATACTGGTCTGCAGTGTGTGTGTGTGTGTGTGTGTGTGTGTGTGTGTGTGTGTGTGTATGTGTTATCCTTGCTGGGTTTTGGTATCAGGATTATGCTGGTCTCATAAAATGTTAGGAAGCACTGCCTCTTCTTCAGTATTTTGGAAGAGTTTGAATGAAGAATAGGTATCAAATCTGTTTGGTAGAATTCACTAGTGAAGTCCCCTGGTCCTTAAATTTTATTTTAAATTTTATTTTGGGAGAGGTATTTGATGATTGTTTTAATTTCTTCACTATTGATCGGTCTATTTAGGCTTTTCAGGTCTTCATGATTCAGTCTAAGAGGGTTATATATTTCTAGTAACTCATCCATTTCTTCTAGGTTATTGAATTTTATTGCATACAGTCCTTCATAGTATTCTTTTATGATCCATTGTATTTTGGTGATGTCTACAGTAACTTCTCTCTAATTTCTGGTTTTGTTTATTAGGTGTCTTTTCTCATTTTTCCTTAGTGAGTCTTGCCATGCTTTGTAAATTGTATTAATCTTTTCAAAGAATATATTTATTGCCATTTAATTGTTCATATTTTTATCTTTAGTTTTTTTCTTCTTTTTAAAGAAGACCCTTTAACATTGATGGTGATTAACTCCTTTACCTTTTTCTGTCTGCTAAGCTCTTTAAATATCATTCACTTCTAAATGATAGCTCTACTAGGTAGAGTAATCTTGGCTATAGGTCCTTGCTTTTCCTCACTTTGAATATTTCTTGTAAATCCCTCTTGGCCTTCAAACTTTCTTTTTAGAAATAAACTGATATTCTTATGGGACCTCCCTTGTATATAACTAACTGCTTTTCTCTTGCTACTTTTAAGACTGTCTATTTGTCTTTAACCTTTGGTGTTTTAATTATGATGTGTGGGCATCTTTGGGTTTCCTCATGTTTAGGACTCTCTGTGCTTCCTATACTTGTATATCTTTTTCCTTCACCAGGTTAGGGAAGTTTACTATCATCATTTTTTCAAGTAAATTTTAAATTTCTTGGTCTTTCTCTTCTTCTTCAGGCACCACCATTATGCAAATGTTTTGGTATGCTTGTAGTTGTTCCAAAGGCTCCTTACACTATTTTCATTTTGGGGGAGTATTTCCTCTTTTTTGCAGTTCTGATTGGGTGTTTTGTTTTTTTCTTCCATACATTCCAAATAGCTGATTTGATTCTCTGCTTCATCTACTCTCCCTGTCAATTATTCTTCATTTCATCTAGTATATCCTTCATTTCTGACTAGTCCTTTTTTTTAATTCTATTGAGGTTTTACATTCATTGAGCGTCCTTATAACCAGTGTTTTGAATTCTTAGTAGATTGCTTGTCTCCATTATTTTTAGTGCTTTTTCTGGAGTTTTCTTTTTTTCTTTTCTTTCATTTGTGATGTGATTCCTCATTTTGTCAGCCTCCTGTATTTTGTTTCTATGTATTAGGTAGAGCTGCTACATCTTCCAGGCTTGGTATATTGAGCTAAGGTAGTTGATGTGCTGTAGTGTCCAATGGCATAGCCTCCCTAATCACCTAAGCTGGGCACTCAAAGTTCACCCCCCAGGTGGGCTTACACTTTCCTCTTACTGAGCCTTGATTGCTGTTGGAACATCAAAGGAAGGGATTTAACCAAAGCTGATCAGCTTCAAGGACTGACTGAGACCACCAAACTCCTATCATTGTGGAGGATTAGCTTTGCAGGGACCCACCCCATAGAGCAGGACTGATTTAGCAGGGTTCTGGTACCTGCTGAGTCCACCCCTTGAGTGTGTCACTTGTGGAGGTAGTTGGATGCTGCTTTCATGTGGTCTGAAGCTGCCCACAGGGTGTACTGTCTCTAGAGACTCATAGAAGGTGCACACCAAGGTCAACCACTGCCTGTGTTCTGCCAAAGGCTTCCCAGCATGAGCTACAAAGTAATCTGTAGATGGCTGCTACTTGTGCTGGGCTTGAAGTTGCCCAGGAGTGGCCACTTAGCAAGAGGCATGGATTGTGCTGAAGCCAAATGCTGCTTGTTTGAGAGATTTTAGTAAAATATGAAACATGAGCCATGATAGGTCATTTCTATGAAAAAGCCACTAGAGATACCTTGGATAGGCCTAAATATCGGTTGGAGCAGGTCTCAGGGATTACCAGGACAGGGCAAAAGTGTGAGCCAGGATGATGGAGTCTCAAATATGGCTCCTGCCTGTGGGCTCTGTGGTGGAAAGACTCATCAAAGGAATAGGGGCCTATGCTAGTACTTTTGTCTAGGCAAAAGCTGCCCCTCCAGCCCTTGCTTTGATACCAGGCAATTCAGTTCCTCCCCATATGTCTCTTATGCCTTTTAAGCTGCTGTCCTAGTGCTGCAGCTCTGAGGGAGTGAGTCCAGAGTAAGCCACTTAATAGATATTGCCTAAGACTTCAGCAGCCTCCATCTCACTCAGCCTCAATCACTGCTGCATTTTTGTTGTTGTTTTAATAAATTTTTAAATTAAAAAATATATATTCTTATATTAGGTATAGTAATAATTAATGTCGTTTTTTAATAATTTTTTAAATCGAATTTATTTAAACAATACAACAAAATTTAATCAACAATATAGTTGCCGTTGTTTTCTATTACTTGTGCCCAACGCTCAGGAAGCATTTTAATCCCTCTGTTGTAAAATTCTTGTGATTTTGATGCAAAAAATTCGGTCAATGCATTTTTGAGGCATTCTTCATTATTAAATTTTTTTCCAAGAAGAAAGTTTTGCAAAGAACGAAACAAATGGTAATCGGAAGGGGCAATATCAGGAGAATATGCAGGTTGAGGGAGAACTTCCCATTCCAACTGGAGCAGTTTTTCAGCAGTGATTCTTGCAGTATGCGGTTGTACATTATCATGGTGAAGAATTACTCCCTTCCGATTAATCAGCACGGGTTCTTTTTCTCTTAAAGCTTGGGCTAACCTTTCCAATTGGGCATTATACACTGCACTTGTAATGGTTTGGTTAGATGGTAAAAGTTCATAATGAAGAATTCCTTTAAAATTCCACCAAACACAGAGCATCACTTTTTTCGCATGCAAGTCAGGTTTTGGCGTGGGCTGTGGAGCCTCATTTTTGTCCAACCATTGAGGCCGCCTTTTCAAATTAACATACAGCATCCATTTTTCATGTCTGGTAACAATTTGCTCTAAAAACGGCAAACGGTTTTGACGAGAGAGGAGCGAACTGCAAATTGTGACTCTTTGATTACGGTTGTTGTCGGTCAACTCATGAGGAACCCATTTTCCAAACTTTTGGACTTTGCCAAGTGCACGCAATTGATTGGAAATTGTTTTTTGTGAACAATTTAAAGTTGTCGCAAGCTCTTGTTGGGTAATTTGAGGATTTTGCACCAAAAGAGCTTGAAGAGCTTCTTGATCAAAATTGGACACACGGCCTCGACCACTCTTGTCATCTAACGAAAAATTTCCCTTGGTAAATTTCTCAAACCAACGCTGGCATTTTCTGGCGCTAACTGCATCTTGACCAAAAGCACTACAGATGTTTTTTGCAGCCTCACTTGCTTTTCTTCCTAATTGGAACTCGTAAAGCATGCAGTGCCGAATATGCTCTTCATCCGCCATCTTCTTAGCCCTAGTTTTGCAACAAAAACCAAACCAAACACAAACTTTTTCAAGCAAAATTTGTTAATTGCACTTCACACGTTC